TTGGCACAGGATAGAGCAGGGTTTAGGGCTGTTGTACATAGGGTCGCTATGAGTCGCAAACGACTCGACGGCACATAACAAGAACAACAAAAAGATTAATTGCACTGGGGAAGTCTGCTGCCAGGGTCCTCTCCAAAGTGCTAGTGAGAAACGATGTCACTCTAGAGACTAAGATGCACCTGATCCAGGCAATGGTCTTCCAATTACTTGCTGTGCATCAGAGAGATGAACAATGACTAAGGATGACAGATGAAGAATTGGTGCCTTTGATGTGTGGTGCTGAGGAAGAGTCTTGACCATACCATGGACCACCAGGAGAACAAACAGATCTGTGTTGAAGAGGATGAAAGCAAGTCTCTCCTCGGATGCTAGGATTTTGAAGTTCTTTCTCACACATGACCAGGACGGACTAGTCCTTGCAGAAGGACAGCATGCTCAGAGGGTGGAGGGATAATGCAGAAGAGGAAGACCCCGGATGAGATGGATTGACACAGTAACTGAGGTAATGAGGATTGGTATGACTGAGTCAGTGAGACTGGCTCAGAACAGGGCAGGGTTCAGAGCTGCTGTACATAAGGTTATTAAGAGTCACAGGTGACTCCATGGCACATGACAACAACCTTGAGACTAAGCCTTTTAAAACAAGAAATTAAACTTTCTCTTATTTTTTAATCAAATAGTCTTCTGTGGCCTATATTCATATTGTTATTGCTAGGGACCACCACATTGTTTCCGACTCATAATGACCCTGTGTACAACAGAACAAAACACTGACTGGTCCCACTCCATCCTCACAATTGTTGCTAACGGTGAACCCATATTCATATTGTTGTTTTGTACCATTTGAGCCAGAACTGACCCATAGCTGACTCCCAGAGATTTGTCTTTCTTTCTCCCACAGAATAGCTGGTGAATTTGATCCATATACTTTTGCATTACCAGGCCAACTCCTTACCCCTAGGCCCTCAGAGCTCTCCATGTTCATGCTGTTGTTGTTGTGTACCCTTGAGTGGGAACCTGACCCATAGCTGACCCTCCTGTACCTTCAGGATGGCAAAGCAGCTTCTTGCAACTAGGCCACCAGAGTCCCCTAATGTTGTTGTTGTTGTTGTTGTTGTTATGTGCCATTGAGTTGCTTGCGACTCAGAGCGACCCTGTGTACAACAGTCCTAAAATCCGCTCTGTCCTGTGCCAGTTGCACCATCTCCGATACACCCATCCCAATTGCCCCAGTCACTGAATCAATCCACCTCATAGAGGGCCTTCCCCTCCTGCGCTGTCCCTCCACCCTACCAAGCATGATGTCCCTCGCCAAGGACCTGTCCCTCCTTACAACATGTCCAAAGTGTGTAAGATGAAGTCTCAGAATCCTTGCCTCAAGAAGCCACCCGGTTTGACCCTTTCCAGGACGAATCTGTTTATTTTCCTAGCAGTCCATGGTACCCTCAATACTCTTCTCCAGCACCAAAGCTCAAAGGCATCAATTCTTCTATGCTCCTTAGTCATTGTCCAGCTCTCTAATGCATAACAAGTGATTGCAAAGACCATGGCCTGTATCAGATGCACCTTAGTCTCCAGAGAGATACCATTGCTCTTCAGTACTTTGGAGAGGTCCCTAACAGCAGACTTTCCCATTGCAATACGTCTTTTAATTTCCTGGCTACTGGTGCCGAGAGTGTTGACTGTGGAGCCAAGCAAACTAAAGCTGTGAACAATCTCAATCTCTTTACCATCCATCCTGATGCTGCCAGTTGGCCCAGTGGTGAGAATCTTTGTCTTCTTGACATTGAGCCTCAATCCATATTGGAGGCTGCAGTCCATGACCCTTTGCAGCAAGCGCTTCAGGTCCTCCTCAGTTTCAGTAAGCAGGGTTGTGTCATCTTCATAACGCAGACTGTTGATAGATCTTCCACCAATCTTGACCCCACATTTCTGCTCATAGAGCTCAGCCTCCCAGATAATCTGTTCTGCATACAGGTTGAAAAGGTATGGAGACAGGACACATCCCTGGTGCATGCCCTTCCCAATTTTGAACCATGCAGTGTTCCCTTGCTCTGTTCTGATGACTGCCTGTTGGTCCAAGTATAGGTTTCTCATTAGCACGATCAAGTGTTCTGGGATTCCCATTCTTATCAGAGTCAGCCACAGCTTGTTATGATCTACACAGTCAAATGCCTTTGCATAGTCAATGAAGCACAGATATACATTCCTCTGGTATTCCCTGCTTTCAGCTAAGATCCATCTAACATTAGCTACAATATCCCTAGTACCACGACCCTTCCTAAACCCAGCCTAGACTTCTGGCAGTTCTCTGCTGATGTGCTGTTCCAGTTGTTTTTGGATAATTTTCAGTTCAATCTTGCTTGCATGTGAAATCAATGATATTGTTCTATAGTTTCCACACTCTGTTGGGTCATCCTTCTTTGGAATGGGAACAAATATAGATCTCTTCCAGTCAGTTGGCCAAGTGATTGTTCTCCAGATTTCTTGGCGCAACTTGGTGAGCACGTCCAGGGACAGCATCTGTTAGTTGAACTATGTCAATTAGTATACCGTCTATTCCTGGGGCCTTATTTTTTGCTATTTCCTTCAAAGCATCTTGAACTTCTTCTTTTATAACCATAGGCTGTTGCTCATATGCTGTTTCATGAAATTCTTCTGTGTCTGCCAATTCCTTTCGATACAGTGACTCAGTATATTCTTTCCATCTTCTTTTAATACTTCCTGGATCATTTAATATTCTGTCTAAAACATCCTTGATTATAGCAACTCAAGGTTTGAATTTGTTCTTCAGTTTCTTGAACTTAAGAAATGCTGAGCAAGTTCGGCCCTTTTGATTTTCTGACTTCAACTCCTTG